ACAGGTATTCCTTGACTTACAACCATTCATTTAGTAACTTTTTGAAGTTACAACAGCACTGAAAAAGTGGCTTATAACTCTTTTTCACTCTTATGATTATTGCATTATCCCTGTGGCCATGTGATCAAAATTTGAATGCTTGGCAACTGGCATATATTTATGACTATTGCAGTGTCCCATGGTCATGTGATCATCTTTTGCAACCTTTTGATAAACAAAGTCAATGGGGAAGCCAGATTCATTTAACAACTGCAGTGATTCACCTAGTAACTGTGGCTAGAAAGGCTGTAAAACAGGACAAAGCTCACTTAACAATTGTCTTGTTAGTAATGGAAATGTTGGGCTCAATTGTGGTCATAAGTTAACTACTACCTGTATTTTGTGATCCAAACAGCTGCTCAAATTTATCTTTCCTGAATTTCAGGAATTACAGAATCAATAAACTGACAAAGTTATTTATCCATCAAGTGAAAGTAGGGGGTGAGGCAAAAGTTGATGAGACACAGGTTGATGAGATCATCCTAACATTCATGGGAATTCAGAAGAGGAGCTGTCAATCCCCTTCTGGTCTTTTGGAATCAATCTTAACATCTGGAATAAATTCCTCACAGAGAAGAACATATAATATTTTTCCTGAAGCAAGTAAACAAAGTATGCAAGAACTGTCTAATTATTTCTAGAATCCTTGAAAACAAATCAACAAGGGTTCCAGGACCAATGATATACTGGGAGAAATGGAGCAGAATGTATGAATCTTGATCCTAGATAAGTGTATACCATATGTACTAGACCAAGCAAGCTGAAATAAGTGGCCAGAGGATAGCAACTACAGATAAGAAAAAAGTTTTCTCTTATATACAATGTAACACACAGCAAAACAAGCTAACACTCTGAAGAAAAAGAGATTTAAAAATTATTAAAATGAACCAAACAGAAATGAGCAATAATACCCAAGAAAATACAATGTTCAATGGCAATTAATGGTTAGGGAGAAAAAAAAAGGGAGGGAAAAAGAGAGGGACTACCAGAATATCTTTTATAGTTTTTTTTGCTGTTTTGCTGTTTCTAAGTGTTTTTTCAAATCCTCAAAGTACATATATTTATCTTTTCTTTTGCTTACATGTATTACTTAACCAATAAAAAAGTTATTAAAATACAAAAATATCATTAGATTTTTAGATTATATCCTTTTCAACAAGAAGTCTTATAGAAATTACCTAATTACATTTATATTTTTGGAGAGGCAGTGTAATTAATGCTTTCTTTAAATTTATTGTTACATTTCAGTAAGAAGCAATTATCTGTATTAATTCAAGTTTGAGATCTAATATTTTCAAAGGCATTATACTTTTGAAGTGTATCATATAGGAATTGATTTCTGGACAAAAAAATGGTCAAAAGACTTCAGCTATAGAAAGGCAAAAATATGGCTCTAAATATTCCATGGTCATGGATAACTGTAATGAATCATGACTTCAATTTATTTATGTGTGTCTATGTGTGCACTAGCGCTTTTATCTGTGTATCTTCAAATACATATCCTTAAATCATTTTGCATATTTTTTCTTTTTTCAGCTTTTCCTTTTTTCTAATTTTTGTATTCTCTTTCTTAGTTTTTTGTATTTAATATCTATCTAACCATCCATCGACCATGAAACAGTTAACTGGCAGATTTCAGGTCACATTTGATTCAGCTAGAGATCACAAAGGTGACAGTTAAAAGTGGTGCCTGATGGAAAGTGGTTGAGAAAAAATAAAAGGACAGACTGTGCAAGCTACTGTTGGAATACTCCCTCCTCCCCATTCATGTATCTTAATCTAACTTCACCTGTACCAAAATTAAAGAGAGTAATATAACATCAATAAAAGTTTCTTTGCAGCTACAGTTTCAGTAGATTGTTAATGTCACAATTTTATTGGTACTACCATGTATCTGTTGCTGTCTATTTTGGGTCCTCGTTATGGAGAGGGGAACCTTTTTGTTTACCGAACCCAAAATAATTCTGTAGAATTGTTGTTTACCAAACCCAATATATTTCTGTCAGCTATATTTTTTTATTTTGAAATGCATAGAACATTAACCAAAGAAAAACGAAAAGAATAAAGTTGCTTTTCAGTATCTGTTTTTACAAGCTCAGAAACTATTGATTGCAACAAAACATTTGTCTTCAAATATGAGCTCTGTCATATAACATAGACATGTTGTGACCTTGGCTATGACAACAGCCAAAACAAATATATGGCAAGTAATGTAGGGAATGTCTCTGAATATGTATATGAACCACTATAAAAAAACCTATTGTTTATAATGTAATGATTGTACATTAGTAGGAACTAGTATATGCAATCTAAGTTAAACTAAAAAGAGGAAACAGGTTCATTGGTCTAGTAGGATATTATTTTTTTGTGAAGAATGAAGGTACATTAACATTTGACCAGCAGATGTAGAGTTACTATATTGGTATATTTTCCCTGCCTATGAGATACAAACTCCAGTTGCTAATGCATGAAGTTAAGGAACAATAACTTAAAAAAAATATTCGTGATGTTCCCAAACTATGGAATAGCATGAACAATTGAAATAGGAAAAAGCAGTTGTATGTTAGAAGTTGCAAATGACAAGGCAAATATTCTCAAGACTCATAACAAAGTAGCTGAAATTTGACATATGGCCAGATAAAATAGACAAGCTTTTAGATTGAGAAATTATGAAACTAAAGATAGGTCATGTAACTGATTTAATTAGCTGGGTAGTTGAAATAATTATTTCTATACTCATTTATGGAATTCATTTATTTAACCAGCCCATTTATACAACTGCCCATTTCGCAAAAAGTGAGTCTATGTAGCTTACAAGCAAAATAATAAGACCATATCACAATATAAAAAACATCAGAAATAAGTAACAAAAATTAAAAAATAAAAACATAAAAGAAAAAAACCCAAGATACTGGGAGGACAACCATCATTTAGCCTCATTCATTTTTAAGGCTCACTGTAGAATCCCCAGACTTGATGGAGGAACCACATTTTTTAAGGCTTTTCAGAAGGTAAGAAAGATGGAGCTAACCTCACCTTAGAGAGAATGCTGCTCTAGAGAGAAATGGCATGACTCCTGGGTCCCACTAGATGGAAATCCTTAAGACAGGGGTCCCAAACCCCTGGTCCGTGGAGCACTACCGGGCCGTGGCATGCCAGCAACTGGGCCGCACAAACAAGCAAAGCCCACCCACGGGATGCTGGCAGCACTCAAAACCACGCACCCCTCCGGTCCGCAGAAAAACGACTCTCCAGGTAACCGATCCCTGGTGCCCAAAAGGTTGGGGACCTCTGCCTTAAGAGACAGGACCTGGAGTATACCTCTTCTGCTGGACCTGATAGGGCAGGAAGATGTAATCGGGAAGAGACGGACCCCCAAATAATCTGGCCCATGCTGTACAGGGCTTTAAAGGTCAAAAACAACACCCTGAACAGCTCCCAGAAGCAAACTGGCAACCAATGCAGCTCACAGAACAGAGGTGTAATGTGTGCCATCCTAGAAGCACATATAACTGTCCATGCAGCCATATTCTGCATCAGTTGAAACTTCCAGATGCCCTTCAAGGGCAGCCCCATGTAGAACTCTGAAACCAAAGACCAGAGGACAATCACCAGAGATGAAAGTAACAGTTAGATGGCCGAGACTATAGTTCTAATAGATTCCACCTATTATACCCAAAAAAACCCATAACGATTTGCACAGCTACTGGTTCTAGTAATTTACAATGTAATTCCTGAAAATTAAGCAGTCACATAGCTAATATTGGTTATACAGTGGTATGTCAGTACTTGTCATTAATTGGTTCCAAGAGGTGCGACAAGTATTAAAAATGATAAGTACCAAACACCATGTGACCCTTTGTTTCGGCAGGGAAAGACTTTCTGTCTGTCCCTTTTTTTATGTCAGTGATCTTCCCAGCATGGGCAATTTCCTATCCGCCCTTAGAGACTGTCCCCCGCTTCTTTTTGCAGCAACCTTTCCGGCATGGGCAACATCCTGTCTGTTCTCCGTGGCCATCCCCCTCTTCCTATTACAGCATATCAAGCACCAAACAAACGAGTACTGGAACAACATTTTCACATCAAAATGCGTCGAGTACCAAATTTGGCAAGTTTTGAAGCAGTCAAGTACAGAGATACCACTGTGGTAAGAGCTCTAGGAAACCATTTATTTCACAGGGATTCACAATGTACGCTTATGAGCTGATTTTGAATCTTTGTATTGCTGGTGTAAGAGGAAAAGGCTTTCCCTTAAACAAATTTCTGTTCCTCAGTGTTTCTCCAGTCGTCTCAATTACAGCCTCTACCCTAGTACTTGCTATTTCCACTATTCTGGACAGAATTTGGTGGAGCAATACACTTCCCATACATATATCTATAAATTTCTCTAAGGAACTTCTCTGCGAAAACACCCACAATGAAAAGATCACCTTTTTAGGAACCACGCCTGGTTCTGATTAATCTCCTACTTATCTGGCTTCCATTAAACATTTATCAAGACCTTCCTGATATATGTTACTTCAGGTAGATGGCTGCTAGATGGCATGTATTTTCAAGAGTGATTTGTGTCATTTAAACAATGACATCATTATGTAAATGAAATCTACATTAAAGTCACATGTGTAATTATATCATTGTTGTAATGTCATCATATAAATACCAATACACTGAAAGAAATAATATGCAAATGATTGTGCAAAATATGCAAATTGCCATGACAAATTCTCAAATTGAACAGTCCGAAATAACAGAACTCTCCTCTCTCCAAATTAGTCCACTGAATCAAGATTTTAATCTACCTTTAAAATATGGGCACTCTTTCTATTTTGGAAAATTGTAAGATGAGCTATAATGATTTTACAGATTGTACAAAATTACAATACAAAGAAAAGACTTAGAAATATAATTTTGTTTTAAGTTGAATTAATATCACATTAATTGGGATAAAGAGTTCTACTTACAGTATCCATAAAATTCGGCTTGAAACCTTCTTGCTGTCTCCTCAGTTCCTCCTGTTCTCTCTGGCGCAGCATCTCTTCTTCACGTCTCCTATGTTCTTCTTCATGCCTAGACGTTACATATAAAATATGACTTTCTAAAAATTTTGCCACATATTTTCATGGAAAAATACTTTCTTTCCCAATGCCACACATCATGTTCAGCCTTACTAGTTATTCTTTTTCAGTTGTTTTTTCACTGTAGTTTGACATGTCCTGCATCAGTGTTATCTTAAGTGATCTTTAGTACATATCTTAAAGAACCTATATCATGGGTCAGCAACCCACAGCTCCAGAGCCGCCTCAGCCACCATGTGCAGTCTGGGGAAAAAAAAGTGGGACTAAAAAAGTTCAACAAATCAATTCAAACTTCTCACGAAGTTTGAATTGATTGGTTGAACTTCGTTGGTTTGTGATACAAACCTCTTTCCTTCTTCGGACTGCATGTGGTGGCAGCGGAGGAAGAGCTGGGAGGATTGCTGGAAAGGTGCTAGAACCTGGGTAAGGAGCCGCGGGTAGCCAGTCTGGGGATGCCTCTTCCTTGCCTGGCGGGTCCTCCCCTCGCTCTGCTGCCGCATTAATCGGGGGGTCGCCGGGGGTCTCGGCGACCCCAACCCTCTCTTCCCATGCCTTTCGGCCGTCTCCCAGGCAGCGGATCTCCGTGGCCTCTTTTGAGAGATTACCCCGTGGCGCCTGCCCGGTCCTTTCCCCACCTGCTGCGCGGCGCCTCTTGGCCATCCTCCCGCCGCTTGCGCTGAGTGAGGCCGGAGAGGCAGCGATAACCGGGCAGCCGCGCCCCTTCGCCGTCCTCCCGCCGCCGCTGCCGGTCGCGCTGAGCGAGGCCGGAGAGGCGACGGTAACCGGGCAGCCGCATCCCTTTGCTGTCCTCCTGCTGCAGCTGCTGCCGGTCGCACTGAGCAAGGCCGGAGAGGCAGAGGTGGCAGTGACTGGGCAGCCGAGCCACTTCGCCATCCTCCCACTGCCGCCGCTGCCGTGGGGCTTTCCACCACCCGGCCTCACCTCGGCTCCATCGGTGGCGCCTTCCTCGGCTGCTTTCGGGGAGCCGCCGCCGCCCTCAGTGCTGCAGGAGGAGACCTTGGGCTGTGAGTCGGGACCCCCCTCGTCCCTGTGGCAGCACTCCCCATTGCCGGCGCAGCCGCCCATGGTGCACCCGTGCTGCAAGGAGAGCGTCCCCTTGCCGCCCTCCTCTTGCGACGGCGAAATGGCCGAGGCAGGGGTGGCGGACAGCGGGGACATCGCTCCCTGGGAAGCCAAGCCAGCCAGGTATCTCCCCGGGCCGGGCAGCAGTCCCGGCTGGGGCGGCGTCCAGCGGGGGCATCGCTCCCTGGGAAGCCGAGCCGGCCACATGTCTCCTCAGGCTGGGCTAGGCGGCAGTCCCGGCTGGGGCGGCGAATGGGCAGCCGCGTCCCTTTGCCTTCCTCCGAAAGAAGAAAGTCCCAGAGAGGGAGTGCGCGGGGTGGGGGGAGAGCAGTCTTTTCTGAGGGGAGGAGAAGCCAGGACGGCAGAGCTGCCCATACTTTAAAAATTTAACATGTATGGGAGAGGAGGATACACCCCAGCGCAAGGGCATTGTAGGGAAGGCGGGGGGAGGGAGGGAGAAGAGGGATAGGAAGGAAAGAAAACGAAGGAAGCTCTGTAGCCACCCAAGAAAAAGCAAATTTAAACACAGTAGCTGCCAGGGAAGGAGGAGGGAGGGGAGGCTTGGCAACTTGCTGGAAGGGACCAATTTGGGGTTCGGGAATGGCGTAAATCTTTCCTTCGTCACAAGTATAAACAATTTTAACTTATCACCTTCTCTTAAAATACAAATTATTTCTTCTTCTAAAATACTATCTCTTATCTAGAAACATATCCTTAAAGCCTCATCATTTAGTCTGCCATTTCTTACCCAGAAGTCTGATTTTAAAAAAGGTTTCATTGGCATTGTATCATCAATTCATTTAGTAAATTGAAAATGGAGATATCTTCCTCTGAAGATTTTCAGAGAAGAATTCAGAAGCAATGTCAAACTGTGAAGTTTAAAAAGTTACACGTTGAGCTGCATAATCCAGTATTTAAAAACCTATGGAATACCTTAATTGTATCTGCTTTCTTTTCTGTAGTTCCTGGTTTCGAAGTTCTTCTAAACGTCTCAATTCTTCCTGACGCCTCATAAGATCTGGAAAAAGTTAAAACAGCTATAGTAACTATTGTTCTGACACAAATAGTATAAATATCCTCACCAAAATAAGCATAAACATCAACAAACAAGCATAAATAATTTGACCTCTTTGAAACAGATTATCAGTAAGAAAAATTTAAAGAACTAGAAACAATGGATTTTTAATCATAGAACATATAAATATTAAGTTGAAGCCTTTTTCTCAGTTTTGGGACATATTTTCTGGGACCCAGAATGCTTCACTAAGGTACAGAAACTATTGAAGGCTAAACCAAACTCTGTCTTTAAGCGAACCACAATGTACCTGAACTTTCACAGCCAAGAGACAAAAATGTGAAAAGGGATGTGTTAAAGACTGAAATTTGTTATCCCTAACACAAAAAAATAATCAATTTAAAGTGATAGGACATTTTTTTTAAGACAGAGGAGCTCAAAAAGTAAGCAGTTCTGTTCAAATCAATACTGCAGATGGAGAAATCTGAATTGCTGCTCAGTTACAACTCAGATTTTATATTTTGTACACCACTTCATTTATCATACATCATACATTACTTCAAATGTTAATATCCAACTTTAAGCAATATGACTATTACTTAGAATTAAAGTAATGTCAAAAAATGTTGTAAGAACAACAAACAGTTTAATTAGTCAACTGTAGGGAATTGTGGCTTTTTCCTATTTAGTCAATTTTGTTTTTGTTTTGTTTGCATCATACAAAAATCTCAGTATATTAACAGTTATGTACTTAATACAGCGCAAGTGACTGTCTCTATCTTACTGGCTCAAAATAACCAAATGAAGTAGGCTTTGGAGAAAGTTCACTTCTAAATTCTTCCTCTACAAAGAAAAACATTTATGTTCAGAAAACCAGCAATCAGCTCTCATGCACTGATTGTGTTTGAAAGAAAGAGCTTATCTGAATTAGGTCACTATCAAAGGCCAGATATTTGTATTTCAAATATACAGACCATGAGTCACAGGTCCCTCACTACTGTTATACTGTGTGTATGTGTGTATATACATACATACATGTGTCCATGTGTGTAATAATTTTGAATTGTATTAAATGTGTTAATCCAAATAATCAGACTATTTCCAATATTCTTCAGCCCACATGATTAAAGCAATAATTTATGAAGAATACCTTGTCTCATCAACATTAACTGATGCTCATGTCGAGCTGCTTCCATTTCTGCCTCTAGCTTCTCCTTAGCTTCTCTAATATTTCTATCAACTTGTTCCCGCTGTTGTTTTTCCATTTCATCAAGAGCTTTCCATCGTGAAGCATATTCAAATTCAAATGTTCCAGGTTGGGCAAAACGTGGAGGCTGTTCTCTTTCCCTAAGAGAAGACACATTTCACTTTAATGCGGTCATTTGATAAATGTAACAGCAAATTTGCCTGCAAATTTTCCAATTCATTTCTTCAAGGCTTCTTCTGTATGGATTCTTAAATAATGGTGTTACTGATTTTATTGCCTATGGCAAATTTAGTGCCAAAGAAACTTAAGCTTGTCTGCTTAAGTACAAAAAAAAAAACAGACTGGGATGTGTAAAATTTAAAGTGGAAGGTGGGAAAGCATGAAAATCTTTATTCCACTAGCAGCATAAACATTTTTTTCTTCAGAGCTCTTCAAATGAGCAAGCCTGGAAACATAAAGGAAGAGCAATCATTCCTACTATTTGCTACCCCAAAGAAATAATCCCCAATGGGCTCAACTGATACTACTGGTATGAAATACTGACATGGGCAGGGAAGGTTGCAGAAAATTTACTTTACTGTGTGCTTTATTTCTGAGCAGCAGATTGCATAGGAAAATGCTTTTCATCTTGCTAAAATCACATTCTGAAACTTGCTTATTTCTTTATATTGCTTCTATCCTTTCCTTTCCCTATGAAATGGCAAGGTATCTCAGAAAATTTATAACATAGAAAACAGATCTAAACTCTACTAGTTTCATTGCTTTTCTGACACAAGTATACTTTTTCAATCACGGTAAGTCTTGTTCTGTTTGTTATATAATATACAACCAACCCATTTTAAGAAATTTTAAGCTCTAATTTTATCATGGTACATTGTGCAAGATTTGTTTTAATGAGAATTTTGATTAAGATGTTATTTCTTTATTACTTCTTTTTCATTTCTAATATTCTGTTTTAGAAGTGGGTACTTACTTATGATACTGTTGTGTTTTTTGCATTAATTTCTCAGGCAAGCCATCTTCATTATCAAATTGTTCCATAGGTTCAACAAGAACAGGTCTAGGTGTTCTTAAAACAAGTAACATATACACACTGTTAATCAGGAATATGTAAACTCAAACTCTAGTTTCACACTGCCAATCTACTATTCAAACAGCAGGCGTGAACTAAGATCTGCATATGGGAGATACAGATACTCCTCGACTTACAACCACAATTGAGCCCAAAATTTCTGTTGCTAAGTGAATCACTGCAGTTGTTAAGTTAGTAAAATGGTTGTTAAATGAATCTGGCTTTCCCACTGACTTTGCTTGTCAGAAGATCGCAAAAGGTGTTCACATGACCTGGGATACTTCAACCATCATAAACATGAGTCACTTGCCAAGCATCTGAATTTTGATCACGTGACCTTGGGGATGCTGCAACAGTCATAGGTGTGAAAAATAGTTGTAAGTCACATTTTCAGTGCGATTGTAACTTTGAATGATCACTAAATGAACTGTTGTAAGTTGAGGACTATCTGTATCTGTACGTGCTAGATTAAGTTGTTGATAACATAGGACAGTGGTGGCGAACCTATGGGACGCGTGCCAGAGGCAGCATTCGGAGCCCTATCTGTGGGCACGCACGCCGTTGCCCCAGCCCCCTCCCCCACACCCCTCATCACCAGCAGCCCCACCAGCAGCCCCCCTGAAGGAGAGTTACCCCTGGGCATGGCCTGCACGGAGCAGCGCAGCCAAGGACATAGCCGGGCAACAGGGACAAGACTCCGCCCTCGCACCCCATAGCGCGCAGGTGATGCTGCGGGGTGTGGGCGGAGGGCGTGGCTGCCATGGCGCTGCAGGGCTGCCTGGGCAATCTGCTGCAGCGGGCCATGGAGGCGGTGCATGGCCCTGCAGGCAGGTGGGGCAGGGGTTGGGTGGGGATGGAGCAGGCAGGGCAGGAAGCGGAGCAGGGGTGGGGGGTGGTATTTGGGCACTCGGTCCCTAAAAGGTTCGCCATCACTGACATAGGATGACTTTAAAAAAACTTTATTTTATTTTGACATGAGGCATCATTCTTGTCAACAAAAGATGGGTCCAAAGTGATAAGATTAATTCCACTCTTCTGATCAGAAAGGATCCTGACATTTGAAATCTAGTGAAATAAACCAAAGCTCTTCAGTTCTCCGACTTCAACTGAGAAATTAACTTTTTTCCATAGAAAAGCTGCACAGATAAACACAGATAAGCAAAAACTTGCTGTTATGTGGTAAGGAAATTTTTTTAAAAACCTATACAGAATATAGAAAATTAGTTTGACTTGCTGATTTCCTAATCATTTTCTTACTATTCAAAAGTACATTTTTAACTTAGCTGATCAAACCCAGACTGCTGCCCTATGAATATCTACATATGGAAACCTATTGCCAGTGCTTTGAAGGTTACTGATTTAACAAAGAAACTATGTCAGCCAATTGTTGTTCTGTGACCCACTTACTTATGGAAGATTGAGTTATGGGAGACAAATATCACCCTTCTAAAATTCTAAAATGTTTGTGCACATTAAACTTGTATCAAATATATTCCATGGGATGACTGGGATATAGCAAAAAACCTGCTTGTTCATCTCCTACCCCTTGTGAAATCTGAAAATGCCCTTGACCATAATAAGGAAGAGGTAAAACCATAGAACCACTATTTCCTCCTTCATTGAGAGGGCTCCTAGGTTCCCTAGTTCTACTTGAGACCACAAATGTTAGAAAGATCATCTTTCAAATGAAGCAGCTTTCAAGAATTTGCCTAATATGTTCAAAGTATGTGATAGTTAAGTGCTGGTCACATGAAGGCATAGTGTGTGATTGAGAGAAACAGCACACTAGTGCTGAGGAAATACCACTTATAACTACAATTGAGCTCAGAATTTGGTCTATACTAATATTCCCAAAAAAGTGACCTCTCTGCATAGTGCTAGCTTTTAGACCATTAGCCAGATACATCCAAAGAAATCTAAGAGGTTCAGAATTACACTGCCACTGTTTGTCTTTTATCCTGCCCCAGCTCTTTTGGACATATCAAGTCATTTGTAGATTTTGATGGTTTGTAAGTGTCCGGAGGCCAAGAATTATCTCTACTGCAAAATCTGGCAGGCCAGATGCTTAGTATGTACGCACACATCAATGGATATGACAGTGGCTCCATGCTCAAGACAAACAGGAGGGAATTAAGATAATTGGTACTTTGATCATCTTTATCTTGTGGGTCACCTTGGTCAGAGATGGTAATGGACACAGGCGCCTTTAGAAAATTAATTTCCTCTATTCTCTCTTCTTGAAATCAGGAGAACTGACTCATCTTCCTGATATTTTTTGTTTTAAATAGGTTAACCAACTCCCACCTTCAGATATATATTTTTTGGAATACCTGGGGATGCATGATCCAATTCTTCTGCGATTGACTTTATTAACTCAGGCATTCTGCTTCAATTTTCAGCAATTCCTTTGTGTACTCCCCAAATTTATATTTATCAAAATGATTATGACACTTTGTATGAAGGGCTTTCATCTTATTCTGCCTTGGCTGTTGTTATATTCCTTTACAGGCATTCTTGACTTACAACAGTTCATTTAGTGACCATTCAAAGTTACAATGGCACTGAAAAAAGTGACTTATGACCGTTTTTCACACTTACAACCATTGCAGCATCCCCATGATCAAAATTCAGACACGTGGCAACTGACTCATATTTGACGGTTGCAGTGTCCCAGGGTCCTGTGATCAGCTTTTGCGACCTTCTGATAAAATCAATGGGGAAGCCAGATTCTAACAACCGTAGTACTAACTTAACAACTGCAGTGATTCACTTAACTGTGGAAAGAAAGGTTGTAAAATGGGGCAAAATTCACTTAACAAAATGTTTCACTTAGCAACAAAAATTTTGAGCTCAATTGTGGTCGTAAGTTGAGGACTACCTGTACTGTGATATTGTCAGTCTGAACATGTCAAATCTTTACATATCATACAAAAAATTTAGGTGGCCACTAAGAATCAATGGCAACACATAATCGATTAATCATTTACCAGATATGCTAATGCTTTCAATGCCAAGCAGCCATTCTCAAGTGTGGTTGATTGGGAGAGACTATCAACTCATCCTATGATGTCCCTCTTCCCATCTGGTTGGTATCTGTAGTTATTTGATCCTTGAGTAGCTTTCTGAGAGATATTTCCCTTACTGGTTAGCTGCAAGGACTTGGTAACCCTGCTAGAGACTCTTAGGCTTATGTATCTGGTTTTGAAATGGTAAGTGTTCTGGAGTAAAAACAGACTCACAGTACTGACAATGCTATCATTACTCCCTATAACCGTGTCAGTATCTACAGGAATCTTACCATATTCTGGACCCTGATCATTTGTTCCTGTGCTAGAAGAGTTCTTTCATCTATATTGATTTCTAGGAGGATCTGCCTTGAGGATGCTAGCAGTACATATTTTAAACACATAACATCACAATAAATGTGGAAAAGAGTAAACTTACGTTGTAAGCAAGAATGCACCATCACCACATCTTTCTAGAGCTTTACGCGCTGGAGGTTTCGCAGCAAATTCCACAAAACCTTTGCCTGTTGCTCTACCACGATCATCTACGACAACAACCGCTCTTTCCACAGGCCCAAATTGAGAGAAAGCTTGTTCCAAAAGCTCATTGGAAACAACTGGTGAAAGATTCTTAACTGTTAAAGCAGCTCCATGGGTGGCAAATCGAATTCGGAGTGGCCTGCTTTTTAAAATGGTTCCATCAAGTTCTGCTTTTGCTATTTCAGCCAAGGTCCTGGACTCCTTTTCAAAAAAATTACAAAATACATACGCAATTATATTATGTGTAGATATTACATATAATTAAGAATTTAACATTACATGTATTTTAGGCTTATTCAGAACCTATAAAGGTGTTTCAATATTTCCCTCTATTACTGCTTCCAGTGACAAGACAGATGGTCGTTTTTGCAGATTAAAAACTGCAGTGGCTGGTGGGAATCTTGCCAATAGTTGCACAGACAATTTCCAGATTCTCTATCAATTGCAGCAGCCTGACTACAAAAGCTAAAACAAGGAATTCAAAAACAATCTTTCCAGCTTTAAAGTAAATAAGGGACAAGTCTCATTATAGTCACTGAAGGAGTTTTAAATAAGCAATTATGCTTGAATAGGCATTCCTGTCTTCCTCACTGGTAATTAGCTTGATAAACCTCAAACCTATTGAATAAACTCAGACTAGAATTTATTAGATCCCTCTTATTAACTTTAAACTTTAAACATTTCTAGAAAGTAATAGTGAAGTTTTTAGTTTTAAAGGATTTAACCAGCTTTTCTGGTATCTCATCTAACCAGAAAAACACAACCCCCAAAAAAACTTACTTTACAGGTACAATCAGAGTTTATTTACATGGCCATTGAATACTAAATATTTTGAAATCTGCCTTCCAAGACAGTAAAATCAAAATAAATAAATAAGAGAATACAAATAATTTGCAAATGTAAACCTGTATTTCCCTAAACAGACAGGGAATCTTTGCTATATGCCTTGTATTGGAACTAAACCATAATTTAATTAATTCACTGACAAGCTAACTATGTCAGGGGTGTCAAACTCGCAACGTATCGCAACTTTGTTTTGCCATGATGCATCCCGGCAGTTTGACACCCCTTAACTAGGTATATTTTATCACATGCATCCCCCATATAGATTTAAATGTATTCATTGTTAGGGAAATCAATCTAGTCAGGACCAAGTAACCTGACTATAATATTATAGCATATACAATAGTGATCAAGGGACTTACTGGGGAAACATTAAGTTCACATTGAGCCATGAAGCTCACAAAACAGATGCATGATTTTTGTAAGCATAACATGTATAAAAACACATCTATGCCTCCCTAAGTGCTGGAAAAATAATAAAATAAGTGGACGACTGAGAAAATTAAAACACCAGATCATCTTGGTGTGTGTGTGTTTGTGTGTGTGTGTGTGTGTAATCTGTGGTTTCTACAAATTCACCCTTATTTGATGGCACTTAATCAATGAATCAAAATAAAATATATATTTCTATTCATGTTTCTTCCTCACAAAAAATTGAGCCAAAATGGAAAGGGGGGGAAGGAAGTCATCTGCTAAAACTCATTAATGTCCTTTTATATATATGTATACATATGCATATGTACATACATCCATACACATAGCTTAAATGAACATACTTTAACTTTCTATCTCAGTTCTCTATAAAAATTTAAATAAAAGGTACAAAGGAAAATAATCTGAGACTCAACAGATATTCCTTCTCAATAGAAGAGTAAAAGCAGAGAGTATATAACTTTTTTCATTGGCTTAATTAACACCTATCAAATTATAGCTAAGAACAAACTGTGATTCATAGCTGTCAAAATGACTATTTGTGTTCTGCCACAGGCTGGCCATAGTGGTAAGCCATATAGCATATTTGTGTTTTACCTTGAACTATGCCTTGGATAATTAAAGTTAAAGCTAGTATTAGTCATACTAGCATTTTATAACACAAAATGAGAATACAAAACAATTCTCACTTAAAAAAATTAGTATGCCCTCCAAAACTAATCAAGTCATCAACCAGATTTTTCTTAAAATGTACCTGAATTAGGATAAAAGCTCAGAAGATTATAAATTGAAGCACACAAAACAATTGTGTATTGTAATAAGTTTTCAGCAAAAACAAAACAAAAATTAGCATGCCCATAATCCAACTGGTCTGAAAGTCTATTTAAATAAGCCAGCTCCATTTTGAATTTAAATGGGTATAGGAAAACTATGGACCAATTTTCAGCCATACCCACTGCTCCAATTGCATTATCAGAACAACTTTATTCCTTACATAACCTGGAATATGTCCTAACTTTTCTAAGTTTCACTAAGACAATCCCTTCCACCATTCAGATCCAGATATTTCAGCAAATTTAAAAAGGTGGTCTTGATCTAGGAATTTATTAATCACATTTATATGGCTACCTATCTTACAAGTTATAGATGTTTAAAGATAATAAAGATACCTAAGCTATGATCAAACACTTCCACATTTCTGAGAGGCTCTTAAGGAGAAACTAAAGGAACATTTCCAAAATAAACCATCTTTAATAGGAAATCTAAATAGCAAAGTATTATAAACTAATGTCTTCTTAGAAAAGTATCAATCTTTAAAAATGTTAAGTAGATAAGACTGCAAGGGTTATGAGAGCCAGCTCTATTGATAATGCTATGCTTTACTTTCAATAAATGAAGCAATTGTAAAGAACATAGTTTTTTTTCAAACAGAATCCTCCCCATAAACAGTTTAATATTTATCAGTAGAAGCTAAAGATGGTTTGGTAAGTACTGTGACAGTCACTGTACTGTTCTATGTCATCTTCCTAAAGGATAATACACAAACTGGAAGAATACAATTTTTTTTCAAAAGAAAAAAAGATATAATTTCAGCTATCGACTTTTTTTCTGCATATTTTTGTTGCTGCATACCTCCCCAAAGATGGAGGAGAAAAAAGCTCCTGGAGATATGATGATGAAGGTAGAAACTGTTTTATTATTTTGTAAGAAAATATATCAGCATGCCCCTCTCTGCAATACTGCGTCGAGACAAATATAATTCAATTATTAGACAGCAACGGCGACCAACACGTGGACAAGAACTGAAGGAAAGCGCAAACAGCAGCAACACGTAGCCCCCCTTTTAGGAATAGTCGCCGCAATACCGAATTTCGGTAACGCTTTGACTTCATTTTACCACTCGGGAGAGTACTTTAAAGGAAACTTCATTTAAACTGGGCAAACCTTTAAACGTTTTCATAGCGGCGCACGTGTTGAAACTCGCGAGTTTCAACCTCGGCAAAAGAAAGGACAAAGCGATCCGGGAGGCCTGGCGCGCGCACGCCCGGCATCTGAAGCGGGAGGGGGCGCGTGTCCGCGGCGAGGAGGGGGGGCTCCAGGCTCCGCCGCTAGCGGCAAAATCCCCCCCCCTTCCAGGGAGGGGTCGGCATGTTTCATGAGGGACATGCAGTTATTTTCACGGGGAGGGGGAAAAAAAATCCCCTTCGTGCCCTTCACACAAGCGCAAGAATGGCGGGCGCAGCTTCTCACCAGGCGAATGAAGCCGAAACCACGGTCGCGGTTAATGAAGACCTCGCTGGGCTCCCCGTAGCGCTCAAAAAGGCGTTTGAAATCCTCTTCGGTGATGTCGGTGGGGAGGTTCCCGACGAAGAGGCGACACCTTTGCGTATAGCTCTTCTCGCCAGGCTTGAGGAAGCTCTTAATGTCGACGGTAAAGCCTCTGTTGTTTTCCTCCTCTTCCTTCTTCACCATCGCTCTAGCGGCGGCCAAAGCTTCGTTCTCGGACGGCTGCTCCAAACCCCGCAGTCCCTTCATAGGGCCGCCGCCCACCATGCTCATCGGAGGAGCCGACGCCGGAGAACTGTTTTCAATCCTCACTTGCTTGAGGTTCCTGTTGGCGGACATAGCTCGAGTTCTCTAACCGTACGGATCACAAATAAGACGGAAAGGAGGGAAAGAAAGCGCACGAAGAGCTCTCCGCTCTATCGCTGCTTTTTCCGATTGCTGTAAAGAAGGAGAAGGGGAGGGGGGGAAAAAAAGGAAAGTCCAAAATGGCGGCAAGATCACTACCCACTGACGACTAGTAACATCGCCCCGCCTCTCGCTTTCTTGGTGCGCATGTGCACAGGATTTGAAACGCTACCAGGCATCATATTCGAGTTAGAACCGGGGTGCGCCTGCGCAATACGCTTCCGATAGAGTGGCAGAAAGAGCCCGCCTCTTTACTTGAGGCTTGCTTAACCATGAATTGCTGGAAAACATCACCATTAGCCGAGTTCACAAAGCAAGAGTAGTGTAGTTTAGACAAACATAATAGATCAGAATAAAGCAAAATATATTAATGGGACCCTAGAAAATATGAGACCTTTCCTATCACTGCACAAGGTACATCTATTAATCCTGGTCATGTAAAAAACGACTTATATTTGATTTTATTTAGCTGTACTTTCAAGATATTATTCCAGGAGACAATGTGCTCAGATGTTATTTCCAGTTGTTTATAAAAAAAAACAAAGTCCCGTGAACTCTTTAAGAATAATTGTTAATTATTTCTAAGTATGGTCTAAGTATTTTATCAGAAGTATCAGATATGGTGAATTGTATTCCAGAGGAATGTGATGAATTATTCCAACATATACAATAAATGTATTACCGTAGTCTAACAAAATGGGGGATCTGGCTTCAGGCTATGCAGAACGTCCTCAATTTTAGGAGTATTGCAATAATTCTATATTATGTCTTCATCGAGCCAGCTTTAAAATGCTTTTCTTTTTTTCCTATATAATCTTGATTTTTTTTCAACAAATGTTTAAAATGCTCATAGTTGGAACTAGTTCTGTGCATATCTGGCTGCCAAGCTAAGTTTCATCGAGTCCTTCATGTTCTCTCAGCTTGATCATTGTTGAAGGAAAAGTCTTCATCATGGTTCAATCCAAGCTGGGAATAAACAACATGGCGACTGCTTTAGAAAGAAGGTTGCAGTTTATTTAAGAGGAGAGCCAGACAGAAAGATGGCTCTGGAAGAAAAGAAAAAGAGCACCTGTAGGGAGTGGGTTTTTATACCCTCTGGGGCTCTTGGGGTTGTTTCCTGTTCCTGTTTGATGCTTTGTATTTTCTGTGTCATGTACTTTGACCTGAGTCTGAGTGTGCCCCTTTGGCATCTGTGGATTAATCATATTATACCCTGTCCTAGAGTTTGGGTGGGGTATGTAGATTTTAGGTGTTTTTGTCTTCCTAAGCTTCTAGGTGGGGGCCTCCAACCTTCCTGAATGGATTACAGTATTTACATCTGCATTTCTATAGAACTGGTTTCTGCTTGGGGGAGGGCGACTTGGGGCTATTAAGAAAAAAACTGGTCATGCTTTTCTGCCTCTTTAAGATCCTTTGAGGAAATATAATATTCTGCCCTTTTAATATTTCCTTCTCTGAGGTGGGGCTGACTTCCCACATTATGTATTTGCAGATATTTCATTATCTCACATCTTTAGCTTTGTTCTGTTTATATGTACAATAACTTGTATTGTCTGCAGGTGTGTTGTTTTCTCAGTAGTTCCTTGATTGAGCTGTTGTTTAATGCTTAATGGTTTGTTTGAGTTAGTATTTGTTTACTGTTCGGTGTTAATCCCTGCTTACCTGGGTGTTAAATGTTGGTGAGCTAGATATGGGCAGTGGGCACAAAACTTCAAGGCTAAGAATGATTACAAATTAAAATATGTGCCATTAAAATACCTTTTGTGGCAAGGAGTATGAAGAAGATTAGATTAGCTACATAGGAGGGCTATTCATGAGACCTGCATGTGCTAGTACAGTAGTGATTCTGCACTTCCACATTCCACATTCACTATCAATCAGAATAGAGCTGGAAGGGACGTTGGAGGTCTTCTAGTCCAGCCTCCTGCTCAAGCAGGAGACCCTATATCAGTGGTGGTGAACCTATGGCACGGGTGCCAGAGGCGGCACTTGGAGCCCTCTCTGTGGGCACACGTGCGGTTGTCCCAGCCTTGCCTCACCCGTGACCCCTTCCTCACCAGCAGCCCCCCTGGAGGAGAGTCGCCCCCGAGCGTGGCCCACGCGGACAGTGCAGCCAAGGACATGGCAGCCAGACAGAGTAGACAAGACTCTGCCCTCACGCCCCATTGTGCACAGTTGATGCTGCGGGGCGTGGGCAGAGGGCGTGGCCACCATGGCGCTGCTGGGCGATCTGCATCGGGCCCTGGAGGCGGTGAGTGGCCCTGCAGGCAGGTGGGATGGGACGGAGCAGGGGTGGGGAAGGGGGTGGGGCGGGGGCGGGGCCAGTTTTTGGGCACTCTGTCTCTAAAAGGTTCGCCATCACTGCCCTATATCATGTCAGACAAGTGGCTGTCCAGTCTCTTCTTTAAAAATTTGAGTGATAAAGCACCCACAACATCTGAAGGAAAACTGATTTGCAAAACTGGATTAATAGCTACAAACTGTGCAGAAAAATGGTAATAAAAATTTTACCATTTGAATACTAAAATTCAGAAGAACTGTAATATCGAATGGAATCTACATATATTGTGCTAAGGAGAACTGATCTCTCACAAGCAGCCCAAAAGATTAAAGTACAAATAGAAAATATTTTTTGAATTTATATGCCATCACAATCAGCAACTTATAAGGAATATAACAAAATATCTACATACAATAGCAACATAAACAACAATGAACAGAAACAATAATAAAAAATGATTAAAATGGAGCAATAAATAAACCATGAAAGTGCTCTCAGGAATAATTTGGTTTTTAATAACTTCCTAAAGTCTTGTAATCAAAAAGGCAAGTCTGCTGTCCCGTTGGGGATTACTGATGGAGATCATTCCAGAGAAACAGTGCTGCCAGAGAGAAACAATTGATTAGTCCTGGTTCACTTCATCTCCTAGAAATATAGGATTAACTAACTGGTGTTCTAATGAAATCTAGTATTTTTGGCTTATATTTTGGGAAGTCTGCAGCCATTTACTGTAGATATTCAGGTGCCAATCATTAAAGATTAACACCAACATTCTAAATTGCACTCAGAAACCCATTAGTGCCATCAATTATCATATGCTCTCAATATCAGGAGCATATAAGAACAAGGCTTCTGTGTGACAGTATCTAAAATGGGAATTAACTGGGCAGAAAATTAGCTTTCCCTAGACTTTTAGTACCTAAGAAATTTATATTGGAACAGATTCTTGATCAGAAACTGTTAAGAATGGTGGCTATTGTGGAATGGGTTATGTAAAATGACTAGTAGTAAATATTTAATTTTGATTATTTTATTTCTATAAATTATTTCATAATTTATTTCTTTGCCATGCAAACTTTTAAAGATTTATTCCAATAAGAACACTTTATAATATTTGTAACATATATTATACCAATGCGCTTCCTATCAATGGTGGTGTTTAAATACTATGGAAACAGAATGCTAGATGAAATCATCTTCATCCATATCCAACATAGTTCTCCTTTTGTTCCTCTAAAAAATTCAGAATGGAATAGATATTGATGGCAACTCTGTTGAAATTTTGAAGACTAACCCAAGAACATAAACTTGAACCTAACTAGCTATGTCTTGTTTTATCCACTCTGTCAAGAGAAAAATGGTGATTTCACTATCAGATAAGTAATTCTCTACATAGTCCTAGTTATATTGTCTTCTTGAATGTTTTTAATTATTACCAGATGCAGAATCTCTCTTGCATGTCTTGCATGTTACTGAGTTCCTTCAAAGAAATAGAAGTTTCATTTCACAATTCAATGAAGCTTGTAAAAGATTTTTTAAAGTAGTCCCACACAGACTACGTTACAAGTAGTTTTTTTTTACTATAATTGGTTACTATACCAATTTTATCTTATATAGAAATGATCTGTTCATATTTCTACATGCATTGCGGATTGCATTGCCTTTAATGAAGCAAAAGTAATTGCATTTTTTTTCTTTCTATATTAGTTTCCAAAACATTTTGTTCACCAATGCATCTGTATACCAAGAATTATCTTTCTTTTTCTTATATTATTTTGGGAAATAGCTGACTTAAATTTTCTTGCCTTTGTATTTCTCATATTATAATAATATTGCATATATTTCTGAGAATTGATTTATTCAGGTTGAATAATTTTTTAAAAAAGAAAAATAGAGCATTTTTTGCCCTCTAGTGGACTTGTCTTATTAAATATGAAGCATATTTTCTCTGCTCCAAGTTTAGGATTTGTAACAGATGGAAGGTTCATATTACTATGTCAGTTTTATTTGAAATTTCAGTCAGATTTTCATTTTGAGAAGATTAACACATTTTGCCATGTGTTCCTTTTTATATTCTATCAATGGTAGCAGCTATGGCCTAGATTACTGAGTCTGCAAACTTTAAAATATACTTCAAATTAAATGATGTGCGAAATTCTTTGTTTTTGAACTGGAACCGGACACTTAAATGGATGTACATAGTCCTTGACTTAACAACAGTTCATTTAGTGACCACTCAAAGTTACAAAGGCACTGAAAAAAGTGACTTATGTCCGTTTTTCTCACTTAAGACAGCTGCAGCATCCTCATCAAAATTCAAATACTTGGCAATTAACTCATATTTATGACAGTTGCAGTGTCCCAGGGTCACATGATCCCCTTTTGCGATCTTCTTACAAGCAAAGTCAATGGGGAAGCCAGATTCATTTAACAATGTGTTATTAACTTAACTGTGGCAAATTAACTGTGGCAAGGTTGTAAAATGGAGCAAAATTACTTAACTCTCTCGCTTAGCAACAGAAATGTGGGCTCAATTGTGGTTGTAAGTTGAGGACTACCTGTACTACATTTTGTGAATGTTAATGATAGTCTTCTGAAACAGCAGATATGCAGAAAAAACAATAACATAATTATAATTCAATGTAAATGTTCATTTATAAGAAACAAATAAAGCACAGTAAATTCTTGTTATTTGCAATAGTTCTTTGAAATAGTTGCAAATACTGAACCACTGCAGAAGTAGGTTTTCTGCCAGCCTCTGGTCAC